GAAACGTTAGGAAACAAGACTTCAAGACCATGGCCACACAGCCCAGAAGACCCACACCAGCCATGTTCAGCAAATGTTTGTAAGCCATGCCCCTTTGCTGGCCATTATTGTTTTAGTCCTACTGTCAGAGAGCACAAAGCTGTGGTTGAGGTTAGGCTGTCCTAACAGCCATTTGTTAACCATTTGAGTCATGGTTCCCTAACTTCATCTGCTTTGTAGGCAAAGTATCAGTCACCTCAGCGTGAAGCAGTATCAGTTTATGTTTTGGATCCTCTAGCATCCTCTAGTGTCCACCCTCACCAGTATTGCAGGGATATTGCTGAATAACCCCTGGTTTGACCAGATGTCTGAGATGAAATATATAGTAGTGCCAAGCCATGCTGCTTGCAGCTGTCCCAATACAAGATGCCAAGCACCCCACGATCATGTGATCACCATTTGCAATCTTCTCTGCCAGCAACCCCAGAAAGACAATGTGGAAGCCGGCAGGGAAGGTTGCAAGCAGAGTGGATGGAGGGAAACCTCTCAGCAGTGTGCAGATTTGAGCTCTGTTCCTCCAGCCCTATGAAGGATTTCCCCTCCCCTCTGTCCACAGAGGGGAGGGCAAACCCTTCATCAGGCTGTAGGACTGTTTGAGAGTGAGATCAGGAGATTGCTTAATGACTGCAACCAGGAGTGCCCAGATTGCAGTTGTTGAGCAAAGCAGTCACATGGGTGTCTTGCTTAATGACTACTTTGCTCAACGATTAAGATTCTGGTCCCAATTGTGGTCATTAGGCGAGGATTACCTGTACTTGTTCCCTGCACATCTGATTCATGGACAGCATGACCTACCTTTGGAAGGTAGTGGGTGAGGGGATTCTATGGTAAGGGTAAGTACATTGAGGAGACTCTGGTACCTAATATCCTCTACCATGCTTAATGACTATGCAAAGATGTAATTTAGGAGATCACATATTACTTCTAGTATATTTGACCCATCTTGACTTTTGCCCATTGATTGCTGCATTACCCACTACTGTGACAATTTATTTGTTTTAGAAAAAATGCCTTGCTGCTACTTGGTAACTGTGCTGTACTAGTGATGGAAATAGTTGCAGGGATATTGCTGGATAACCCCTAGATAATCTTGTGTGATGCCTGTGCAGATGCTTGAACTACCCTGACAGAGAAAAATGCTTTTTGTCATTGCCTCTGCTGACCCTTGAAGTGGATGCAGATAACACTGTATGAGTCCTGTATATCAGCTCAAAAAGATCCCATGCAGAACTGTCCTCGGGGCTGTTTTGAGGGCTGCTTCAATGGTAGAGGGTGTCTTCTGGTGCTTCCTGAACACCATCACCATGATTTTTAAGTCGTAAATCACGTGAAGGCAATTATCTTCCTGCTGACTGTTAGTCCTTAGATTCAGATTGGTTCCAGGAAACCATGAACCAAACAGGTTAGTCAATGTCATCTTTTTCTTCTGAGCCAAGGAAAGATTTTCTCTACCAGCAGTAGCTTTTCTTTCTCATGGTGTCAACTAGTGCTGCTTCTGGAACTCAGTAATATGAAGCCTGCATGACACTGTCCCACCTTGACCAGCATATCTCTATTGCCCATCCTCCCATTGCATTCTCCTCTACTTCTTCCAGTCATGGTTTGTAGTACTGGAATGTTTTTAATGAAGTGGATGCTAACTCTAAAGTACAGTAGTAAGACTTCCTTTCAAATTGATATTTATGTATCTTGCATAGTACTAATATATATTTTGTTTGCATGAAGGTGTATTTATTTAATTAATATAAGGGGTTAATGTTAACCTGAACCCTATACTGTTAATTTATTAATTAAAAGTAGATAGTATTATTTTATAGGGAATCGTTTGTGTGGGGGAAGGAGGATCCCTTTGTAGACAAGTTCACCAATGAATCTCAGTCTTGAATCTCAGTCTCCAAAATCAGTGTCTGTGACCTCTAAACTTATGTCTCACTTCTAGCAATAGTCCCTCTACACCCTCTCTTTGTTTAGCACCCACAATCTGTTCCTTAAATCGGAAATGGTCACTAAGCAAACATGTGACTGAGAAAGAGGGAAAGATGCTGCAAATATCACTGGTTGCTTATGTCACATTTAGACAAAGTTCTCCCATACTGCTACACCAGTGTTACTCTCACTCCAGTGTGTATTGTTGTCAGGTACACAAAATTTGGTTGTAAGTGCGCACGTTGGTTGGAAAATAATTTTTTTAAAAATAGCTTTGTATTTCCAAATAGTCACTAAATGAGGTAGCCACTAAACAAGGAGTGGCTGTATAATGTTTCTCAACTCTAAGCATGTATTTTTTGCTATTTTCTCTTACTTCAATTCCTCCTCCATTTAACTAGTTCCAGCCAATAGTAAGACAATTAGAAGTTGTGACTGCTGTTTTATTGATTAATATATACCTAGTGTCCTTAGCTTGGAGGATTTTTTAAAGGAACCCAATAATAGGATGTCAGAATAGTTGAAAGAATAGAATAAAAATTCTGTTTTGTTTTGTTTACATTTAAAATGGTAGTTTTGAATTTGGAACATTTTGGATGATGATGATGATGATGATGATGATGATGAGGCAGCATACATAGAATTTCCTTTTCCAGTTATTCCCCATTTAAAAATTTGTAAGGTAGATTGAGTCAGATACTGACTGGCCCAATGTTATCCAGCAAGTTTCGATGTTTGAGAGGGGTTTTAAACTTGTCTCTCCTCATCTTACCAGTATATCATACTGCTTCTCCATGTATTAAAATAGGAATTTGTATACATCTTATCAAGTTTCTACTTATACTATCCATTAAAAGATATAAGAACTTTGGATCTACACTAACATTAAGCATGGTGATAGTCTTCTCATCATTTCATCACTCCATAGCAGAACTCAAAGTGACTGTTGTAGAAAAGTGGGAATTTAACAGCACGATCAATTGAGAAATGGTTGAACTCACATACATTAAAAGGTTTCAGGCAATCTTAGAAGGTCTCAGCAAACACAATAGGTTTTTAACACAATGCAGGTGTTAATTGATAAGATACTTGTAATCTGTCTCACATGTAACCTGCATCTGCACAACCAACTTATCCCTTCCTTTCCCTCCCACTTCACCCTAATTTACATTCTACATCAATCTAGCAACTCTGTGCATCTGATGAAATGAGTTGCAACTTACAAAAGCTTATGCCTTTTAATAAAATTAGTTAGTTGAAAAAGGTGCTACCAGACTCCTGATTTTTTGCCACCATAGACTAACACAACTCTTCTCTTAAAACATCTTAATCATATGCTAAGAGCGTAATATATATAGAGAGATCCCACATGTAAGATGAGCTGCACAATGTAAGTGATTCTATTGCCTTCAGCAACAAAGATGCTGCCCTCTTACAAATGCTGAATAAGATAAGATTTTAAACCCAGAATAATCAATGCAGAGTGAATGAGTAGGAGGCACCATTTTGTCATTTACTCAAAAAGCAAGATGTTTTGGGTAAACCACTGTGAGCAGTTACGTAGAACCCCTTCCCCCCCCAAGGTTAAATAATTTTTTTATTTTTCTTTTTTGTTAATAGGATTTATAAAATTGT